CTGTGCAGTCCGGGCAGTGTCACACAAGATACATTCTTAGATGGCACTCTATTGAAGGATGAGAAATTTAAGTAGAAATTTCCTCATGTCATTTAATAATATCATCATGACTATTATGCTGAAATGTGATCTCAAGTTTTCTCAGTGAAGCTTTACAATTTTTATTTATTAACATTCTGCCAGGATTCAACTTCTAAGGCAACCATGATTGGTAAGGAAGTAACAGTCCCCTGGTCATGTTATATATCTCAAGATGCTTGATTTTAGGATCATAAGATTAAACCTACTGCTCCCACTACAATACTGGTATAACTGATCTCCTGGGTGTTCAACAACTGAGGCTTGGAGACCAAAGCTAGAAAGGTAACTGGGCTAAGAGGACAGCCAGTGTTTTGTCCTGGACCTCCAAGGTAGACAAGGACCCAGGCATGAGAGGACCTTTCTACATTATCCTACAACTTTGGTAAGTCACTCAACCTCCTGAACCAGGAGATTTTTGGATTCCAGAAGACAAGAGCCAACCAGTGTATGGTGTGCTAAAGGAAGGTCATCAGCCCTGCTTCCACAGAAAGACACATAGTCAAATGGGACCATGACCCATCCTGGTTCCTAACACTGACAGAGGAGCTGAGAGGCTCTGCCCATGGTTCCAAAAGTACTGCCTGAGGAGCCTTGACTGACCTTGATAGATAACAAGAGGTTAGTTTTGATTAACACAGCTCTCACTTTAACTTGGCCTTGAACACCCAGAAGAAAAGTACAGTATAACCAAAAACACATTGAAGTAATAGTAATATAGGCTCAACATGAAAAGGGGGCTCTAATCACTGACCCCTGCTGACAGTTTCTGGCTACACCTATAGACAGGTCTAGGAGATAGCTGGTTACCGTTGCCTAGTTACTATTGTTATTCCCATCTCTTAACAGCATCGGGATGTGACTCCTTCCCCAATCTGTCTTTTCATTGATTCTGATACTCATGCTTTGGTCATACATGCTTTAATATCTTGGTAAAGTTTGTTTGTTCTCATGCAGAGACTGCCAAACTCCCAGTGATCATGCAGGTAGAACCAAGGATAAAAGTGCCCAGGATCTATTGCCCCCATGCAAAGTCTGTCCAAGGGGCACATGCGCCATGCTTCATAAAACATGCTATAATTTTATCCCAGAGAGTCCTGACAGTGTAATTGCAGCTCTGTGGGAGATGGACACCAAGACCCAGGCAGTAAAACAAATGTCTCAGGACCCCATGCAGTGTTCATAAGATTCACGGAAGTCTACCATCCTGTCTTAAATTCTTCCCTTTATAGTGCCTGTCCTCTTTCTACTCCTCTGTGTATTATTGCCAAGCCTAATCAATCTGTTTTAAAGATTTCTCACCAACAGTATTGTACCCATTTCACAGGCAGTAGCCAAAGACCATATCAATACAATTCTTCTTCAGTGCAGCTGAAACTCCAACAATTTCTGCCCCTAATCAGCAGGAAGTAGTTCAGGAAAGATATGCTGCACATTTTCCCTATCTAGCCATGGAGTTCAGGATGAAGGAATCCAACCACCACCACCCTGATCAGAGACCCCTGTAAACCGCCCCCTCCAGCACAGCGCACCTGGGACTCAGAACACTCCCAGCCGCGCTACTGGCAGCAGCGGCGGCTCCCCGCGCTTCCCCAGCCTCGTCCTTGGGCAGCCTTGCCCGCTTGTGCTCTCTCAAGCTCTGATCTTGGCAGGGAGCCACAACCTCCTGTCACTGAACCCCTCCCCATGATCCTACGAAAGACCCCTGGCCGGGACAAGAGCAGCCAGTCTGATCTCTGGTGCCAGAGCGGCTCCTCTCAGGCTCATTCCGCAGTGAATCTGTCCTGTTGCTGTCTGCCTCTGCTTCTCCTTTTCCTTTTTCCTAGAACATAGTCTCTGTAGAAGAACTGGCGTACTTGAGGAATTCTGAAGAGATGGCAAAGAATAAATAATAAAATGGCAGATATCTGAAGCCTGACTTCAGGTGACCTGTGTAAAGTGGGACTTCAGTTCAGATGATGGCTCTGCTCAGGTCTATGGTAGAGCTATTGAGAAGTGTCTCGTTGTTAAGGCCAAAGCCCTGAGTAATCGCACCTCAGTTACTTTCGCATTTCATATGCTGCTACTGGTGCCATCATCTATCTAAAGGCAGACTGACCTTGATCTGCCTCACATACAATAGTCATAGCTTGACCCTTCTGCCCACTGTACTACTTACTTTCTGTGCCACTTACTACCTTTGCCCTTGAACTTCTTTCTCCCTGGACTTCAATAAAGTACTACTATTAATAATACCTATCTTGTAGTTGGTTTTCTTTTTCCCTGTGGTACTGGACCTTTTTTAGGCCCAATTTAGTAAAGTTAAGGCCTTCTACATCTCCAGCCTTTTCTTTAATTTTGAGACAGGGTCTTGCTAAATTGCCCAAGCTGGGCTCAAACTTGTGATCCTCCTGCTTCAGCCTCCCAGAGTGCTAGGATTACAGGTCTTGAACTACCATGCCCGGCTCTTGTAGGCTTTTTGTTGTTGTTGTTCAGGAGTTTTGAGACAAGTTCTCTCTGTGAAGTTCAGGCTGGCCTTGAATTCACAGCGATCCTCCTGTCTCAACCTTCCAAGTACTGGGATAACCGGTGCGTGCCACCATATCCAGATCTTACAGGGTTTTTATACAGATTAAATGAATTGATATATTTGTATTTGTTGAACAGAATAATGAACAAACAAATGAAAGTTCTTGGGACGATGGCAATGGCCTCTTTTTTCATCTCTCTGAATTTGTAGCTTCCCATCCAAGACTGCACAACCAAGCCAGCGGCATCTGACCACATCATACCCTATCTAACTGCCCCAAAGCCTTCAGGATACATGCTAAGCCTCAGGCTAATGATTTGCTTCCCCATCTCCTGATAACTGAGATGAGAAGCAGACTCAGTCTTATTTCCACCAGAAGATCCAGCAGTATTATAGGGGTTTTTTACTGCATGCATGTGGAACAGAGGAGGCGACATAACTGATAAGCTTCTAGCTTTCAAAGACAAATCCCCATGAATCACAGCATGTAAAAAATGGAGATATCTACTGAATGTTAATACCAATGCAACAAATCATTTTAAAATATGCTGAAATGGGATAGCAAATATGTCTAACAAATTATTTTAAAGGTACCATCTGTAGGAGACTGCAGTAGCTGAAATCCAGTCATCTTGTAAGACTCCTTTGTTAGAAATATATGTGAGCCAGGCTTGGTGGCACACACCTGTACTCCCAGCATTTAGAAGGCTGAGACAGAAGGACTGCCATGAGTTTGAAGCCAGCCTGGACTACATAGTGAACTCAAGGCCAGCCTGAACTGCACAGCGACACCCTGTCTCAAAACAAAAAAAACAAAAAAAAAAAAAAGAAAGGAAGAACATGTATATGCAGGTGTGGACACATCTGTAATCTCAGCATTTGGGAGACTGAGGCAGGAGGATCACCATGAGTTTGAGGCCCGGCTGGGTTACATAATGAGTTCAAGTCCACCCTGAACTACATAGCAAGACCCTGCCTCAAAAACAAAAACAATAAATAAATAAATAATTTTAAAAATAACATTTGTGTCTGGCATACACAATCCCAGCACTCAAGAGGCTGTAATCCCAGCACTCAAGAGGCTGAGGTAGGAGGATCACTGCTAGTTCAAGGCCAGACTGAACTACATACATAGGGAGACCCTGTCTCAAAAAACCGAAACCAACAACAAACAAAAAATATATAACATTTGTAAGGGTGCCCTGTATTTTGTCCCAATTGTGTGGATATTGTACAAAGAAGAGGGAGAGAATACCTTTTTGCACATGGTCATACACAAATTTTCTCAAAAGAACATAACATATGTTCAGTCATTTATCCAACATTACGGGATACACATGGTTTTGGGTTTTGGTTTGGTTTGGTTTTTTACAGTGGTAGGGATCATCAAGGCCTTGCAGGTGATAGGCAAGCACTCTGACACTGCACTACAGCCCCACTGCGACACACACCATTTAGTAACTATACTGACCTAAACATGTCCTGAGGCAAACTTTATTTTATTTATTTATTTATTTTTGATACGGGGTTTCACTCTGCAGCTCAGGCTGGCCTTAAACTCACTTTGTAGCCCACACTGGCCTCAAACTTGCAGTGATCCTCCTGCCTCAGCCTCTTGAGTGCTGGGATCACAGGGATATTCCACCACGCCCAGCAAAAAAGGCAAACTTTAAAAATCTAGAACCACAGTCTCAAAGCTTTAGGAAATAAAAATCTGTTGGACTGAGAAAAAAAGTCTAGGATATGCAGAGAGGATAAAATGACCCTCTTCAGTAATTTATTTAAAAGCATTACAAGCATTACAGAAAGTGCAAATATCTTTTTTTTTTTTTTT